ACTTTTTATAGATAATAAATCAATATTTTTAATGTACGTTAAATTATTGTATGTGAGCAGCGACATTCATTTCTTAAAAAAACCGCTTATCGACTAACAACACGTTATTCTGTTTTTAAGTAAACTGAAATAAATTGTGATGACATTCCTTTTGATGATTACGAATACATACGATTTATACAATTTAAAGACTGTAATTTAGTAAATTATTATATCTATAGAAGGGAAAATATGATCAGTAGGTACTTCTTACGTTAATGATTCTACATATGAAAATACTTATTGTTTTAATAACATCGTTCTCTTTGTTTGCGTTTTTTATACTTTGATCTTGTAACTAGGTGTTAAACGTAATTTTTAATATTTCCTATTTTGTGATTTTAAATCATTGGTGTATAATTATAATATTTTATGTTATTAGTGAAAAAATGATTAATAATTGTTATAAAAATCAAATTCATTTTTTTTAATGTTAGTGGATTTTTAAATTCTCTTTTCTAAGTGCAAACAGGTACAAAAGTAATGGTTCTCTGCCTTTTCGCCGAAAATCATCTGCCCGAATAATTATTTGCCAACCAATTTGTTGCCAACTTCAAAATGCCAACTTTTCAACAGTAGCAAAATGTTTTAGTGGGCGTAATTTTTATTAAATTGTTTATTGTTTGCCAAATGTTTTTAAGTCTATTCTGCTTTGATCACTGTCACACGCTTCTCCTCTGTGTGCTCTTTGTCACATCTAATCTTTAATGTGACCTAAACGGTAGGTTAGTGTGACTGGTCTACCTGATAAAAGTCACTTCGCTTCACCTCACGCGGATGGATGAGGAAGGAAGGCATCCTGCAAGGAGAGCCCGGAAACCTAAACTAACCTAACTGTTTCTTTGACAAACGCGTTTCGCTTCTGGCATGCTCTTCTCTCGCCTAACCTACCCTAACACATACATAAATGTATGGTAGCGAGAGGTGGGTATCTCAGTTGAGATACGTTCGTTGCGAAGAATTTGTGCGCTTAAACGCTCGCAGACCGCATGGATAAGGCGAAAGATATATGTAACTACCGTACACTGTGGCGTTCGGTCCTCTATGCTTACGATAATAAAATAATAATAGAATAATAAAATAATAATAGAATAATAATTCTACTAATTGAAAATTGTCATACAAAAATTTGCTAATCGTTAGTTGTCAAAGTGAAACATTTTTCTTTTTAATAAAATAAATACATTTCTCCAAGATCTCTGTCCCCAATCTCAAGAACAAACGCAACCACAAGCAACGGATTAACTGTCGAGTGCGCAAAGCTGAAGCACCATATATTTCTTAATTTAAAAATATTTAAATCCCACCGGACCCAGATACCCCGAAGCAGGACACGAACCCTCAACTTTTCACAAAACTCTAACCATCAGCTACCCGAGACCCAAAAGGACGAATTCTTCAAGCACTTGTTGCTTTTCGCGATTCACCCAAACAGCCGAAAGAAATATTTTTACAAACATTTTTAACTTTCGATTAAGATGATTTGTTCTAATAATTATATTTCATCAATGTTATACTGATAAAAAGCTTAAATGAAAAATGCTTAAATTTTTTTCTCCATTCGTTAGAGAACTTTTATCAGAAGCTAGTAGCCGAGTTAATCCAGAAAGAGTCCAGTAAAATAAGAAACAGTTCTATTTCACTGAACTAGCTTGAGGATTATATCTGTTTACACGAGGTGAATACTGGACTGGCTTGCTGAATTGTCTCTACTATTACCATTAGTCCTGATGTTCTACACTTTTAAATAGTCTCAGCGTTTGTGCATAGCACGGTTGCGTTACGGTACTATGCGTAAAACGCATAGATAAAACGCTGTCGTGCTCGTCTACAAGTCTCGTCTCGTCAAGTGAGTATGACTCATCCCATTCAACACTGCCTTAGCACACCAAATAATCCGTAGGTTTACACGGTGAAAATACCTCTGTCTCTTTATTCTGCAATCAACAAAGCCCTACCAATTATAATGCTACACTATATATTACAAAGACGAAAACATAACTAAAATTAAAATTTGCATGCATTTTGGTAAAAATAGTTAATTTTACACAAAATATTTTTCACAGCACCGCTAAATATCTAAACATTATATCCAACGACATCTCGTATTAAGAAATAATGAGAAAAATATACCCGTTTTCATGCAGGAATGTAGAAAGGACACCACTTTAAAAAAAAACTGGCATCTCTGAATCTGCATCGCTCGATTCAGATTCTCGCGTAGAGATTTCCCCACAAATATGAAATTAAACGACCATAAAGCTTTTATGTTTTCCTGTAATATATAACAATATATATTTACTCGCTATTTTTATAATTTCAAGTCTAGTTGTACATTGGAGATCAGGGAAAGAAATTATCACTTTCTAAATAACTTCAAGAACCAAATATGTCATATAATATTGTTTGTAACACTTTTATTAATTTCTTTCTTACCTTCTAGTGATGTAAAATAAAAAAACACTTTGTTTTTATTCACCATGCTGTAAATAAATACTACAAAATTTAGTGAAGATAAGGTAAGTAGGCATAATTTTTAGTTCTAATAGCGTTAGTACCAGTTCTTTACAATACAATGCGAAAGTTAAAAATTCTAGATAAAAATCAAAATTATCTTTATTCAAGTAAACTAATAAAAAGTATATTTGTATTTGGATTGAAATGCTGTAGTGCAAATCCCATATTCTTATCCTTTAACATGTTTAACATTAGGCTATACTTGTAGGCATTTCGTTTTCCCTTCATTAAGAAACAGGTTATTCATATTGAACTGATATACTAGTCTATCGATTGAATTTCGTATAGATTGAATCATAAAATGGTAGTCCTCTTTTAATTTAAAATAAGAGTGAAGTGGCATCTACATACGAAACTATTTGTGTGATCCCTTACGAAATAAGGCAAGTCATTTATACAGGAATATTTTTTACACTTTTCCATTATTAGTTTATTTTTTTGTATATATATTTTATCCCTATTGAAACGGTAGAATATGGACACATTTTTCAAATAAAACGAATGGAAACGTCTCCTCTTGCGTATACCACCGTGCATTCCCGCCGCGCCCGGCAGCCCCCGCCACAGCGCCCGCTACTCGAGACTGGGCGACGCGCGCGTCAGTGGCGGCAGTGAGACTCATACGCACGCGCCGATGTGACGTGCCCTCGCGTTCCCGCGCAAGCGCAGTGCCCGCCGCAATCGTGAGTTTACGAGATGGTACGAGTTTATCTACTGAGTGATGAGAGCCTAGCGCAGTTCGGAGAAAGTATGCGACGGAGAGCTTACCTCGTATGCGAGCCTTTGGAATCCGTAACCCCGCGGTCCCTAATGCGCGAACCATTTTAACAGACAAATTCCCAGAGTCAGTACCCACGATGCGGTAGGTCGCTTTGGTGTGAGCCAGTATTGTATCGCGGTATTGAAGCTGCTTAATACAGCCGGACTCCATCCGTACCACTTTCAGCCGGTTCAGCAGCTCCATGACCTAGACCCAGTACTACGTCGAGCCTTATGCGAGTGGTTTCTACATCACCGCGATGCAAACATCTTGTGGACGGATGAGGCCTTGCTTACACGTGTGGGGCTGTTTCTTATGGGAAGAAGTCAAACAAAGCCTAGAAGACTTAACAATAAAAAATAATACATAACGCTTTTAGTAAAGGGAAAAGTGACACTAATGTTTTAAATAAATTAAATGACAATATAATGAAATGTGCACGTTTATGTCTGGACAGAGGTGGACTTCATTTTGACCAAATATTAAAAAATACAGTGATCAGTACATGGTAAGCAAGTATTTTTAGTTAGGTATTATTATTGTAGTTAGGTATTATTTTTGATTCAACATTATTGTAAATACGTAGTCAATTCCTATTTTTTAAATACGCCGTAACGCAGAAGTACCTGTGTAACCTCGGCATAACGTTAATATTTTTTTCTAGGTACCGAATTTGTTTCTCTTTTATTTTATTTTTTTGCATTTTAATGGCCTTAACCATAAAAGTATGAAGGGAAAATTGGAATTACTCTTACAAATCACCTCAGAAGATGGCATAAAATCTAGTTCGAATCTAACAAAACGGGCGATCAGTGACCCGTGTAGATAGATAGATACTCGTACCTACATACCTACGGCGTCGAGCGTGCGCTCAGCTGACGCACGGCGCGCGGTGTCCATAAATTTAGTTTTAAAATCTCGATCTTTGGTAAGAGATAACTTTATTTTTTAGTATTAGAACATATCAAAATAAAAAATCGTATCTGCCAAATTCCTACTTTACACTATGAAGGTTTAAAGTTTTGTTACACAATGTTCTTGAATAATTTCGTTTGATGAGCAAATTTTGAAGATTTTTTTATCAAAATTAAATATATATATCAATTATTTTTATGAAAATGGCTTCTTATCTGAACATCAGAGTTTGTTTTTTGGTATATACTTACACTTGTATGATTTTACGACGTTGTTCAATGAAATTTCCATTAGAAAAACGCGTAGTATGTGCACACACTATGTTTTTCTTTGGAGTTTAACTATTAAATTAGAATCGTATTAAAGGGTTAAAAGTAAATAGAAAGTTATCATCAATTAATTTCGTTTATTATATTTAGTGTTCTACACAAATAACATAAATTTAAGAAATCCCTCAGATTTATAGTTTAATGTTTATTACTATATCTAATTAGACTTGTTCAACCCCGATAAAATCACATACAAAAACAGGTAAGTGAAGTTATCAACAAAATTAATGATGATGAAAAAATCTTTTTGTCTTAAAATGCCTTTAAAAACCTTTATTGACATAAAAAATCTTATACTTATATTAAAAATCAAGTTCACAATAACTGTATTTATTATCTTTAAAAGTTACTGGTTTTATATTATTATTAATCACAACATAGTATTCGGTCTTATAATTTCACTCTGAGTTACATAAACTAACAAACAGGAACTATCATGACTAATTCTCATCGTCATCACTTAAATCGTCGTTGTTTGCAGTGCTTTCATTATTGTAGGGCAGTGATCGGAAATAGACTGCATTACTTGCATTAATGACGCCGGTATTGCACATACTTACTAGATCATTGTATTTCAGTTTTGGTAGCTTGAGAGGTGACGAATAAGCACGTTCCAAATTGGGTACTACCGATGAGTGCCTGGTTTCACTCCGAAAAACCAAGCATTCGTAAAATTCTTGATTTAAATCGTATTTAAAATACAATTTATTTGGATCAGATTTATCGACAAACACTTCTTTAATTTTAGTCCATAATATTTTTTGCTTGTTGACAGTTTTATTCCAATGTTTGTCATTAACAGTACTCTTGAAATTATAGAAGTGTTCCTGCTCCATGTTCTTTACCAAATATGGTTCTCCTTCAGTTTTTGCCCAGCGTGTAAGTAGTCGCCATTCTTCCGGGGTGTAAATTGTTTTTGATCGAGCCGAACGTTCTATGAGGGCGTGGACACTATCACCCTCGTTTTGCGTGTGCCCTTTCTCGAGAAAGTGATGTGTGATTGAAACATTAAATTTTTTGGCTGCAAACAAAAACATAGCAAAGACAAACCTGTTACGATTCTGGCCCGCACAATTATCGGACCAGAAACGAAATTCTTCAGCACCCTGTGTAGAACAATTCTCAATATAATCTAGTAAGCAGCTTCCTACCTCATTGGCTCCCCGTTTTGCTATAGTCTCGTCCCATATGTAACAAACAGCCTTCTTTTGGCCCATATTAAATATTGTGAAGTTAAAAGCCGATAATTTACGCTTGTAGTAGAAAATACTGATTTGCCCATGTGGACACGTCAACACTTTTTGAAAATCGAAAACAGCTGTAACGATCGACTCATTAGACTTTTGGGCATCTTCTTTGTCCTTCTGCTTCAGGGCACGTGCAGTTTTCTTTGAGTTGAGATGTTTTTCATATTTCCTCGTTTCTTCATCAGTGTGAGTAGTGGTGTTGCGATAAGCGTGACACACTTCACACTGGTCCTTTTTTGGCATATGAAATCCAAGGTTGAAATTTTTATTAACAATCTCCCTATACTGCCTTTCCGTAAAGACTTTCGACGAATATAGGCTTTCATCAAACCACTCATTATATAATTTAAACATTTGACTAATACTGAGACTACCATCTAGATATAACTTTGTCGAATCTTTTCGAATAAAGTGTGATTCAACCGGTACAAATGAATTTACATGATCACAAACACTCTTAACCATGTCATCAGTAATAACAGATTTGTGATGTTTATGCTTACCGCGGTTGTCGCTTTCAAAATCTGAAACGCCGTCATATTTTTTAAACGTTGTTTTAACAATGCTTTCACTTACAGAAAGTGTTTGTAAAAACATTGTCTTGCAGACTTTAATATTAATGTTGGTTTCAGAAGAAGTTAGTGGCAAAGAATATTTATATGTATACTGACGTTTATTTGGTGTACTACGATTTAAGCATCGATTCTTGGCAGTTTTATGCACATATTTTGAAATAAATGTCCATTGTTTCTCTCGACTACCAAGATTCCAAAACCTCGTAAAGCATTTTAGTCTTTGATCGCTAGTCATTTTATCTGCACACTTACAACGACAACCACATGGCTTACCCATAACTTTAGGATCAACAAACTTGCCTCTTTTTGATACATAGCTCTTTCCATGATTTTTCAAACATTTGCGTTTCGCGTCAGACCAGTCATTCTTTAATACCAAGCGTTTTTTACCCTTTTTTTGTTTAGGTTTCGGTGTATTTAGTGAAGATATACCATTAGTATGTAATTGAACTGAATTTATCCAATCGGAATGGTCGGGACAAAAGGCATCAGCACATTTTTTATGATTATTTAATGGCGAGGGCATTGGTGTAGCTAAAACCATATTTTGTGACGATGATGGTGTGGATACAGCTGGTTCTTCGAATTCTTCAATATAAATATTGGGAGAGTTATTAAAGCTAGGGTTTACCTCGAGAATAAAGGGACTCGGAACCTCTTCAGTAGTTTGGTTAGTGTCTAGCAATGAGACAGAGGCAAGGTGGTTGGCAGAGGCAGAATGTTCATATTGATGGTCTATGACTATCTCAGGGTCGACAACTGGTGACAAAGCAGCTTGACAGCAGGCAGCATCATTAGATATTTGTGCAATCTCATTTTCATGTTTCGATGAACTGGTTTCTTTGCAGGCGGCAGGTTGTGGTGGTGCAGTAATGTTTACTGGTATATCATGAAGTTGTTCACAAGCCATATTTTCTTTATCGCTATTAAACACGTCGTGGTATACGTCTGCTAAATCGTTGAAAATATTTTCGGCTCCCGGCGGCAATGGAGAACTGGCTCTACTATCATGTTGATTGGATGATTCTGTTATAAAGACCAAAATCAAGATTGTAATTAAAAAAAGTTCGAATAATAATGTTATCTAGTTTACTATTAACAAAATACGTCATTTTTATTGAAAAATATGTGATAATTAATTTTTTTTTATTTGGAATAAAATCGCATTTGAAAGTTAATACAAAGAACAAAAACACATTGTCACATAAGACAGGAAAAATCACTTCATTTTTCGTAGAATAAAATCTTATCTGCAGATACGACTGATATTTTTGTGACATTTCTGGCCGAATAAAATCTTATGTTACAATAATTCGTTTAAAATTGGTCTTGAGATAAAAAAATCCCGTCATAATTTTCACTCAAACGTCATTATAGCATTTAAAAAAACATAGAATTCATGGGATATTAAACATTTTATAATTTCCATTGAACAAAAAACGATCGTCACAAACGACGGAGAAAATTTAATTTTAATGAAAATTATAGAAATCGTGAATTAGTTAAAAAACACTTTTAGGGATTATTAAAACACAAAATGAAATTAAAAATTAAATGTTACTTACCAAGATTAGGACATTCCTTATTCTTATTTAAGTGACTATTGGGGCAGACGTCATCATCTTTTTCTTTATTTAAGGATAAATCCAAAATTCTTTTAATTCTAGATACAGCAGACATGGTTTTTTTTCACTAGTACATGTGTTGCAAAGTTAGTGAAACTCAATTTAGGCACCAAATGATAAATTCCGTGTAGTGGCCCGCAACGTCTCTTTTAGCCGGGAACAAACTCGCGACTAACCAAACGGCACGATCGCGCGCGGGTCACAGTAAGCAGAACAAGTTCGTACATGTCGATGCGTGTTTGTACATCGAAACGTTTTTCAGAAACGGTTTTGTTCTATTGGTTTTCTCGAAAATTATATACTTAATTTTTTAAAGAAATACACTCTCGTGTAGCTAATAATGTGTATGTTAATAATAAACAATAAAGTCAATTTTGTCTTATATTTCCATACGACTATGTTCTTGGGGCCCGACGTGTTTGTTTAAATTACTTAAAGTTTATTTTCACAAAATCTTTGCAGTGGTTTTAAATTATTCCTGTATAAATTACAAACAAGAAGGGCCCAAGTTTTGTGCCCTATGGAACACCCATCTCTGCTACCGATGCAGAGGATCTCTTGCCATTGGTGCCAACCCTCTGCACTCTGTGACTTAAATACCGTCTCACGTATATATTAATTTGTATAATATCTTTGCTTAAAAGATTTGTTTCCTTATCTAATTTATTAAAATTATAATTATTTGTGTATTTACATCAATATAGATTATACATAGCCGTCCTTGCATCCGCGAGACAGATTCAAACGGGATCTAGCTGAAAATCAGCGTCTCTTTTGCTTTTAAGAAGTAAAAGAGATCGACATTTGCTTAGCTAGACACCTTTTTGGTGCAACTGTGGGACACGCATCGCTTTAATACTTACTCAAATGTTATTATTTTCTATCTTTTATATTTTCTGTTAATTTTAATTCTTTATTAATTGTCTGCAAACGTCCTATGTATGTGTGCCAAATAAATAAATTTGATTTGAATTGATATATGAGACAGTAAAATCTAATAAGTTATCTCTAATTCCATAATATTGAAGTTTGTTCATTAATGTTTTATGAAAAATCACAATAGCAAAACCTTAACTAGATCACAGAAAACACCTAAGCGTCTGTTGAAAACTACCAGGTTTCAAAAATTTATTTATTTTGGAGTTGCTAGAACAATTAGAAAGAGATAAAAGAAAGAAATGGAAAAGTACATACTGGGTAACACTGACAAAAACGTATACTGACTAGAAATTAACTTGCACCACTGATTGATTTTATACAACGTAAAACTAACGAAAGAAAACAAGAAAGATAAACAAAGGAAATAGCCTGTGCCATAGTAATAAGTTGTGGGAAACCAGACAGAGAAACAATCTGGGAAGAAATACACAGTCATAGGTAAGCTGAGTGAGGATATAGGTATTTATGGCAATGTACGGGAACACCATACGGAGGCGGAGTCGGTCGCGTAATGGCCAAATGGTTTTATCCGAAGAACACTGAAGAAGGATACAATAAAGAATACTATAAAGTAAGAAATAGGGCGACGGAGACGAATCCTAAAAACGCGAATTTTTAGAATTACTTATTTATTTTTAAAAATGTGTTTTATAAATGTATTTCTATTTATTTCTGGGCTTGGCGTTGACATGCTAAAGTTAATATAAACCACAGCAAGCAGTCAATTTTTAGATTAAGTTCATGTTACCATCATTTATTGACAGAAAACATGGAGTTCTCTCATTAATCCATAAGTGCCGGTTCTTAGCATACTAGTGACTTTTGATAGGGCGCTGCAAAATTGTGCTGAAATACGGTTTTATATTGATACCTTACTGCGTATCCAATCCATTTACAATGGCTTTATAGCTTCCGGGCGAGTAGACGGCAGCTTGTATCCTAGTTTGGCATCAATATTTATGTCAGGCAAGGTTGTGTACACAAAACAATAGTATATACCGATAGTTGCTTCCAGATAATAGCGCCGATTTAAGTGTTTTTTTAATAATATATATCAATAGTTGCTTCCAGATAAAAGTGCCGATTTACGTGTATTTACGCATAGTTACGGAGAATTTGTGCAGTTAAATTCACAGATTGCATTTGCAATGAAGAAGCAAAAGACGAAAGTTGATCTGAAATACAGTGTCGATGTAAGATTAATAGACTTGTTCCATAGGTTTGGACATGCGGGATGAATTCCGGACTAAATAATGACATACTTATCTAGCCCTTATACCTGCTAGAGTGCTAAGTACTTGTACTAGGTACGCGTATAACTCTTCTGTTATAGACGAAGTACAAAGAACCTGCACATATCATGATTATTTAATAAACGTTAATTCCGGCAGTCCATGTCCGTCCGTGCCGGCAGCCCATAACCAAACAAAAATTATGTACTTGAGGCATCACGTCTGGTGTCTACCGAAAACAGTGCTAAATAAAATTTCTATCAACACACATTTTTGATACATATTTCTGAAAGAAACAGATATAGCAGTGCTTAGGGCAGTGATTCTCAACCACTGTGCCGCGGCACTTTTGTGTGCCGCCAAATTTCAAAAGTGTGCCGCCAAATTTTGCAAATATATAATAATGTTAATATTATTAAATTATATCATTTAGAAAAATATTTTTAACATGTTATTGTGGATTTAAATATATATTAATCCACAAAAAAATAATTATTTTCTTTGCAGCGCGTTTTTCTTAGTGCCAAATTATGATGAAGCGGCGTGCATAGCAATAGGAATATGTCTCAAGTCGGCGCACACTTGCCACTTCTGTGTACAAAACATGTTGTTTTAGTGATAGTTGGGCTTCACAAGGTGTTGCACAGTAGTTACTGCACCTTTTCTTTCGTTAAAATTGGCAAATGTATGTGATTCGGTTTAATATTAATTTATTTGCTTGTAGTGTCAATTTATAAATTTGTAAAACAAAAAAAGCTTTAAACATATTATTACAATTTTCCACATCTTATTTGCGTGAATTCGGATTTTCAGCATTAGCCAACATTAAAACTAAAAAAAAGATCAAGATTGTTAAATGTAGAAGACGATATGAGAGTAGCATTGTCATTTTTACGACCAAATATAAATGAAATTATCAAAAAACATCAAGCTCAAATTTCGCATTAAAAATATTTTTATTATTAGCTTGTAATAGTTTATGAAGTAAACGTTTAGTTATTATTGTAGTATATATTAGTTTATTTCGTATATTTAAAATTTTTGTCATAAACTATTTATGCAGTGTGTTGTAGTAAGTAAATAATTTTTATCTTTTTCTTTGTGTGCCGGCAAATTTTGAAATCGTTAAATATGTGCCGCATCAAAAAAAAGGTTGAGAATCACTGGCTTAAGGCATCAAGTTATTTTAATCCGGCACTGCTAATAGGATATATGTCGATCATTGAAGATTACTAGAGATTTAAATTAAAAAAATGTTTTTAATTTTCATTTAGTCAATACCAATTTCGTTTCGATCACCTACTCTGTTAGATGTTAGATTAACAATCAACCTTTCGCCAAAAAACAGTATGCTACCACTCTAAGCGAACGATGGGAAACGCTAACACACGTGGTTAACCGATTAACTGTGTTACTAAAATTCAAATCCATAGACAATCGCTCAACAGTTTATACAAAAATATAATTTCTGTAATATGTATTATTTTTATAAATATACGTACCATTGTCATTGTCAAAGAAGTCAAATTCGAGCAGCAAAAAGCAGTCTTCATTAGTTAGCAGACCGTCGGCCGAAGCCGATGATCGATCCCATTGGCTCGTACTCATGACTGAATATGATGCTCTGACTCTGAAATTGAAAAATATAACAAGCTTATTACAAAGGTAAGTACAATATAAAAAAAAAAACAAAAGAAGTTCAGAAAGATGTTTGAGTTCCCAAAATATACCCAGTATTCTACTTTATTGTTGGAGATATATTTCATGATTGTGATCATCATATTTTATCAATTTTCCATCGATCTGACAGTAAGTGTTAGAATGTACGTCATGATCGCACACAATGCCTCGCGATACCCCTTTTCCCCGAGGAGTCACTTTTTTCTGTCCACTGATTACTAATCAAATTGATTCTCATTTGATTTTAGAATGAATGTTTTCACGACGAACGCAACGATTCCACTAAACACCATGGTCAGAGCCAACAAAAGTAATTCGCTTGTTTATTGTTACATTAGAGAATCAAATTGACTTTGTAATGAACATATAGCACCCATATTAAAAATATTAAAACATCGATATTTCTAATATCTGAGCTTAATGCAAATAAGCGATTATCCTAAATCAAATAATTTAATTTTGAAATGTGAATTAATTTGATTGGGTCACACGACTTCAATACTATGACGGCGTTTGACATGAATACAAATTTTAATACTCAGAAAAATATTACTATCTCAATTAATATCAGACTTATTTAAATGTAAATTAAAAATTAATAAAATATTTATGCAGGCATAAGTTAATTGCTTCATTAAAAGATTAAAAGTTAAGTACATGTGTGGATACAGACTACAGTGATGTTAAAAAAAAGGACATATTACTATAAATATATTATATAATGTCATACATAAACAGATAAAGTCTCAGTGTTCAATGCAGAAAAAATTAAAAGAGACGCGTTAATTGCGTTTGATAAGCTAACTATGGGTTTAAATGAAAGAAGTGAATGAAGTATATAGACATTTAGCGGTAAAAAACATTTTTTTAATAAAATGCATAGGTATCCCCAAGGTATCCCTAACCTAAGGTTCATGATCCCAAGGCATGGGATGAGCATCACAAAGAAATTTAAAACGCTTTTCAAAATATTTTGAGAAAGTGGTATTGAGAGATTACGTAGCAGAGAAACTATGTGAGCTATCTGACGAAAGCGAATTATAGGATTTCAGCTTATGATGGCATACAAAGAGGTGATCATATTTGCGAAATCCAAATATGAAACTTATTGCGAAATTGCTCAAATTTATGTAATCTTTTAAGTAAGATTAAATTTCAGATACTAGTAAAGTTTTAATCTTAAAGTTTTAAGTTATAATCGGTTCAGTAGTTTCGAATACATCGTGAGATTTAATACAATATACCTAACAACTACAGAAATGTCGGTCCACTTTCATTTAATTAGAATCGCAAAATGTGTTGGTAAGCGCATAACTCAACAACGCCTCGACCAATTTGGCCAAATCTTTTTTTAAAATGTTCGTTGAAGTTCAAGGATGGTTTTTACGGCGAGAAAAATTAGAATTATTGCTGGAAAAACCCTAAAAATAGCCCTTTTCTTTTTCCCATACAAATGATTTGTAACTAAAACGTAGTCAATTTGAGCTTTATTGCTATGGTATAAAGTTCATATTAAATTACAAGCACTCACTGTTGTCTAAGCAATGTAGGTGTGTTCCTAACGTCAAAGATCATATCTATCAAAACAATGTGCGTGTGTGCGTTGGAGCACAGAATACATAGTTGGAGGAGTTTAATGTCGCGTTCCGAAACTCGCGTTTCTTTTGTATTAGTTTCGGCACGCGAGATAAAATGCATCAGTTTCCACGTCATTACATCAGTCAAACAAAAATCGCGTTACCAACAGTGTTTTATTATTTTTAATATCCAAATTTTAAATCAATAAAACAATTCGTACGGCTTAAAAGGATTTGGTATATCGTGTTTTGTGCAGAGTGTTTACTTAGTTAGTGTTTGTTTAGTTCGTGATTAGTGAAAAAATAATTAAATCTTTTTGACAGGACGAAGTCTGTCGGGTCAGCTTAATGTAATAACGTTGCTTCAAAAATTTTTACTGATTTTTTATTGTTTTTTCAAGTTTAAACAGCTCATATCGTTTTAATATTAGTACCGAAGCTCCTGGAGTGCATTCATGTTATAGTTCCTAAACGAATAACAAATGCAAGATAAAAATATCTTATTCTTATTTATAAACGTATTTTCATTCATTGCAACGTGACCGAATACTGAATAGCATAACATTTTTGAATTGGTTCAACTATCTATAAAATGTGTTATTTTAACGACTTATGCTTATCATTTTCCTTTTTTTAATGTCACTTTCATCGGTCAATAACTTCAATTATGTCTATTTAAATATAAATATTTAATTAATAGGTATATATCGTTATCATATCAGTACATGGCACGAAGGAGCTGCCGCCTCAAACGCCTTGCCCCGTGCCAAATTTATCAATAAAGCGTCTCGTATTATGAAAACAAGAAATACCTATCGTTATTTGATAGTTCCGTTGAAACAAAAATTATGACATAACTACACGTGCACACTTCAAACATAATTATCGACATAGCAGATTGTCTAGCTTTTATTGAGCCATAATCCTGGATAAATAAGAATTATTAAGGAATTATGCAAATATCCTTAAAATTTTCTTTTGTCTAATCAATATTACACTGGTTTTGACTACTTAACTCTGGAGCTGGAGACAAGGTGTGATGTCGAAAATTAAACGAGTATAAAATCTGTAGCTATATTTTAAAGAAATTTACAATTTTTTTTTTTGATAAATGAATTGTTACATTACGCGTGTAAATAGACGAATCAGAATAAAATTCATTTCCACAATCAAATAATCCTACAATCGAACGACATATAAAAAAAGTAACATTAAAATCCCTAAACGAGATGTGTGTGACGAAGTTACATCCAAGGAACACTACAAGAAATACGATGAATTATTCTAGATACCGATAAGAACAAAAATTTGTTTTATTTAATTAGACATGTTCTAATCATGACAACTTGCGTCATAATCTGCAGTTGTATACTTTCAAATACCCCTTCCTTTTATTAAGCAACTGTCATTATCTATCACACGTACAACTCAGGTAGATGATTTCCTAATGGAACAACAGTGTCGAAAGACACGACTTGTAATGTAAAGAAACTATCCGACTGGGAGATTTCGAAAGTCTTGGCATTTTATAAAAGTATCCCAGTACGCGATTAGTATTCGATTAGAAACGCTTATATTGCAATTCTTTAAGAATTAGTATTCTTCTCCTTCGACGAGCGTCTCCGCAACTCGACGCCAAAGTTGCGCCTGTTCATGTTCAAAATCAATTCATTTCAAGCAAAAAAAATCTTCAATTTTATTATTAGTAAGAATAGATTTGTTAAATCTCCTAAAGTATTCTCCTGAGGTCTGAAATTTATTAGAAAATAACTTTTCTATATTTATGCACGTCTGGACTATTGTTATGATTTTTATTATTTATGACACTATGACACGATTTATCATTATTTCAAATGAAATGACAAATCTGCATAATAGTACAGATTTGGATGGCTTCTTGATCTGATTAAAGCAATATATCTTCGTGGTAACCCACTATTCCCGTTCTACCGATTGGATATAGTTGCGACATTCTGATATTGCAGTTTTGGTATTCTTTATTTTCAACATTATGATCGATAATTTTTTCGATAATGTTCTCTCCTTTCACACTGACAATTTCTCCTTCCGTCATTAATGGCATCTATACTCACCAAAGATGATAGTACAAGCCCAAGGAGATCCGAGTCCGTAGTGGTCGATGGTGATTGTGGTCGTAGGACAAAGTTGTCCGGTGAGGGCGCCATGATGGCACTGAAATTGAAAAATGATTGATGTTAAACTCAGTTCAGCTGCTGTAAGAATTAGTTCATCAACTTACATCAGATGCTTTAAAAACTATCGTGAAAATATAGATAAACCATAATACGTATAGCCTAAGGTTATTAAAAAAGTTTATTTTTTTATATTTTCATATTCATATTCATATTCATTTATTTGTTCATAAACATGGGTACAATACATTGGTGTAATAAAGAAAACAAAAGGTCAGCCATGATTCACCTTAGATGGTATATGAACATTGTAAAAATATTAATGTAATTAACATAAAACAGATATATAGATTAAAATGTCAGATATCAATAAAAAAAATAATAAAATTTACAACAATGTCAATTAAAAATTTAAGTAATTATTTCAATTCTTATAAGTTCTTATTAAGTAAATGGATTAAAATGTTAGATTAGATAAATTAAAATGTCATATATCAATAAAAATTCAAAATTACAACAATGTCACTTAAAATCTAAGTATTAATTTTAGTTTTGTCAATTATTGTTAAACTTATCATTTAAAAACATTCTAATGTCATAATAAGCTTTTTCAGCAAGAAAGCCATTGAGTGCATTTTTAAATCGTTTATTATCGTTTATCGATCTAATAGACAGCGGAATTTTATTATATATTGTTGGTGCCATACAATTTACGCAAATTCTACTGAGAAGTTTTCTACACCTATGTGTGACCTTTAGAGTGCCCTCTCGACGACTTCCAATAGGATTTTTATCAAAATAGTGTGGGTTGCTTCTAATAAAACTTGCAATTTCATATATATACATAGACGGCAGTGTAAGAATTTTATGCTTACGAAAGTATGGTTCACACGAGTCATCTTGCATTAGTCCGAACATTATCAGTTAGAACTTGATTGTTAACATATTAAGATTCAAAATAGATTAAGAGTCGGAGTTTTGTGTAAACTGCTGTTGACTGCATATTAAAAAACTATGAAACATTTTTATGAACATACAGAAACTATGAACATACATTTTTCAAGACACATAAGTATTTTATATTAAATAACATTTACTATTTAGAACAAATAGCACTCGGGCAAGCTGAAATTGCTGTATACTTTGAAGCTGCGATCATACTGTTAAATAAACGCAAGTTTGAAACTTTGTGGTTTGTAACACTCCAGAAGGGGCTGATATAAAGGCTTTAAGGTCAATGCTGTAAATGTTTTTACCTTAAACCTATAACACGTCTAATTGACGGGTAGTTCTGGACAGGATTTAAACACTGTTTAACTCTTATACTTATATTGTGACCTATAGGTATAAACCATAAGCACAAGCATTATTATCCAACTGAAACGCGAGCCGGAATGTGTATGCGGTATTACATTTTCAGCTACACCTAAATAATATGTGTTTACGCCCTGTAACAATATAGAAAATATACCTACATAGAGTCGATTAGTCGAAACTGTTGTACAAGTTTAATACGGAAGCTGACTTTTTTTATATTTAAAGATAACCAGAACATTAAACGTGATATGGTTCGAGTATGACCCATGACCTATGAGGACGGTGCCATGATAAAACATGTATCTTATATTTCTTAAATTTCTATGCAGTATTATCTTTATTTATCTTTAGTAAACCTAATAAAGTTACTGTTTCAGAATGGATGATTGTTTAAAAGAGCACTATACGAGCTTAATTTGGAGCCTAAATTACAAACAAGTTTTTTCCTCCAGTTCAAAAAGCCACTTTGTTTTACATGTTGTATCTAATAAACAAATAGTGTTGACCCTTGCGACAACAACCAACACGGGTCGCGGCGTTTATCCACTACGCCACCGAACTACCATATAAAAATATTACATATAGATTATTTTTATTTGGTCATAATTTTACAAAGTTCCGCGAACCATTTAGGATGCTTCCAATTACTATCAGTGTTCCCTAGAGCAATTAACAAACTTAATCTTAGGGGCCGTCCATTAATCACGTGAGGCTCTAAACGGTGGGGAGGTTCAGCTAGAGGGGGAGGGGGAGGGGGAGGGGGAGGGGGAGGGAGAGGGGGGAGGGGGAGGGGGGAAAGGGAGGGGGGTTAGTAAATAAAATAAAGTAAATTTTTGAAAAAAACTCACGTGATTAATGGACGGCCCCTTATATAGTCTTAGATTTTCACAAAGCCTCGATATTTTTGCGCAAATATACCTTATCGCTAAAAATACCGAAATAATAGCTATCAGCTTAACAAAGGTCTCTTTTTGCGACGAATATACACATTGTTGAAATGTTCAGTATACCTAAACCTATTTATATAAAACTACAGAAATCTCGGTGCCTACTTCCACTTCTACGGTAAATATAATGTAAGTAGGTAGATCTTAATAGATTATCGACTACGGTTACCTACTTAATAAAGAAAATTGAAGTCTTGAGGAAAGAAAAATATCCAGAAAAGTCCTTTTTCTTTCCGAACTTTCAAAATTAAAGAAATAAACTTATTTGAAAATGTAAGTATAATAGTATAAATGTTAACATTGCTGTTATCAAGTGTTACAGAATTGGATTTTTATTTTATTTTGCTATAGGGATAAGTGATCAAAATCAATTGTAGAAACTTGACATTCACTAGTGCACGCGTAACATGACAAACTCGAGAAACGCTTGTCTACATTAATGTCAGTTACTCGAGTCGAGAGTGGGATTAGTATGGGCACACCCGAGAAAAGTGACATTTGCATGTAGACAAAATGTTTTCGAGTTCGTCATGCTACGCGTGCTGAATTACTACCTACGTGTAGTTTCGTACTATAACCAAATAGGAGTCTCAGTCAGATTTCTAAAATAAAATACTTGCTTCTCGACATATTTCATCCTTCAATTAAAAAATACGCATTCACATAACACAGCTAGAATAATTTCAGAAAATTAGCCTTACAAATTTAGCATTACTAAGTTTGTGCCTCATATCAAATTACCTATTTACGATTAGGTACGGTCTTAAGAACCAGTATTTTACCCGGAATAAAGCGTAGGTATAAAATCAACACGCATTATTGACAAATGTTTTGAGCTCTAATTATAGAAATGTTTTATAACCTATTAAGTTATATCGTTATACTAAATAGGCTACGTAAGTAAACACTGACGAATGAATGTGAAATTTTAAAGCATTATGATAATTTCATTTAAGTTTTTTTTTGCTAGATGGGGAGACATAATAACATCTCATTAAAGTGCAACATATTGAACAAGGAAAAGATGACAGATTCTAAGAATCTCGCTTTCTTTACACTTAGCGAACGGTATTTCCCGCGTTCTTGAATTAACAAAAATGTGTGTATCCACTAGGTAAGGGGTAAATTTCAAAATTTCCAGGTTTTATAATAATGACATGATTTTGCTTAATTGGTAGCTTACAACTTATCTCAATTATTAACTGTAGAAGCAAATAATAGACCAGCTAGACGATCATTAACATCATTATTGATAATTTGATGACCCCATTTTATTATAACTTAAAAGTTCATTAAATCAGTAGTATGGGGAGTGACTTCATAATCTGTCGCAATAAATTAATAGGCTCCCCCCGCTAAACAAGACATGAGTGAAAGCTATGCTATGACGGAATGCAAAACCGTCGCCATAAAAAACTATTCATAATATAACCAATAAAATTATAGAAAATTATACTCACAACATTTTTACTTAATTGCGTGAAGGCACACGCAGGTGTGCAAACGTTAAGGTACTAGAAACCCATCGTAACTGCAATAATAGCACGGAAAAAACAAAATGCACGTCTAATATCACTGAAACATTGATGGGTAGTGGACGGAGAGAAGGGAGCACAGACAATTCGTTTCGAGAAGTATCGATGTATTCGAATGGATATTGCTTACTTAGTATCGAATAGTATAGCTATACTTAATTAAGTTTAATTCAGAATTAATTTTTTTTCTTTGTGTATTATTAAGATTATTTCGTAAATTATGAACTCTAACCGTTGAAGTATTTATATAATAATGACGCATTCCGGATAGTGGAATACTTACAATTTAGATTAAACTCGGCTGGATGTTTATTTAAATATAAGTATTCGATGGGTATTTTGAACAACTACGTACACGGTAACGTATCAGTTTATCAGTCTTTCTGCAATTGATTTAGAACTCTACTTTCTACATTTTTAGATTCAAAATAAATAATACATAGATTTGACAGTTTTGTTTACTGTCGACTGTATAATAGCGTCAATCCCCATAGTTTGGAAAATAAATTAAAATTTGCAGGTTAAAAACACGGCGCCTTTAGTTATACCCAATTGTGACGCCTCAAAATAAATGAAAAAGCTTTAAAAACTTAATAAAGCTTATAAATAAAGTAAGATCCCACTCATCGAAGTTTAGAATGATGACAATAAAGAAAAATAAAACTTTAATCCACTTTTAATTACTTACTACCTTAATGAAAATGAGCTCGAAGGACTATATTACATTACACATATAGTAAGACGAATTAATACAAAAAAATATATAGTAACCATCTAAAATTAATTAGCAACTTTCATAAAGATAGGACATAGGATGGGTGACCAGAAACATATTATCTCGAGCACCACCGTGCTTCGGCAGGCACGTTAAGCAGTTGGTCTCGGCCATATTTGCTGTCGCTAACAACAACCAACCAGCACTGGGCTCGTTCTCCCCCATACCTATATTCAAATTCGTAGTAGTAGGAAAGGCCAATAGGACAGGTAGCAAAAATACCACGCAGCAATCAATAACATTAATTGTCCATTTACATTGATCAATGGTAACTGCATGCGGGGCGCGTGCGATTTATTAGTTGGTTATTAGGTAGTTTAACAACCAATGAAATGAAATAACAGTCACTCGCACTCCGCATACGAACACCGTGGACTAATGTAAATAAGCCATTACCTATGGTTATGTTTTCAGGCCACTTCAGGCTCTTGAAGTAGTTTTTTAATTAAAGAAATAAAAGAGCTGGAAAGGAAATGCACAAAATTTACGCCTTACCTCAGGCATTTAACTATTAAACTTCTTTTAACATTTCTATTAAGTTATTAAAATCTTTTTAAATTCACACTATTTGTATACATTATATTTATATGTAAGCAGGTCTTGTTTGTGCATTATTTTGAAAACTATTTATTTACCTCGACATTTCAGCTATGTTGCAGTAGCCGTGGTCTCTTTTACCGATATAACCCAGCAGTAACAGGTGTGATTTTTTATTTAATTTCAATGGATCACTATTCTTTACCAAGTTCTTTAAAATGCATGCAAAATAAATATGATTGAAATCAAACCCATTCAATTAACAAAAAATGGTGTTATTTATTTTTTTAATGCTATTTTTTAAATTATATTGAAATCACAATACTCATTTAGGAAAATGTCATACTGCAGCAATCAAGATTTGCCATATTAACCAGAGCTACAGTTTTTGTTTTACAAAAATCAGGTAGACACACCAATCTAACTTTCTGACCATCCTCTCCTGGAAAGAAATTTAAAACATAATCAAATTACAAAATCTATAAAAAAAAAACTTAAAAGCTAATATATAAGCTAAGTGTAACATAACAAACCTTCATATACATCTGTGGCAAACTCATCACAATCACCATTGAAATATATGGAAGGGCAATTGTACATAATAAATGGATCAGTTGCCACACAAGGTGTACAAGGAATAGTATCAGGACAAGTAGGAGCTATATGACGCCACTGTAATGTCTTTTTCATTACTTCTAAATCAGTTTCAAGTTTACTGTATCGCTTTATATCTTTCACCGATTCACCTGATGTTCCTAAGCAAAGTACACCTAAAAGTAATTGTTGAATAAAACTTTAGTGTTATTAACTACAAACTCATAGGCAATTTTTTTTAATATTATGAATTCTTTACCTCCAACTTCACATTCATATGGATTAGAGACTCTATTGAATGACTTAAACTCATTTGCCTTAGGAAATAAACCTGAAAATCAATAAATAATTACAGACTTATTGAAGATTCAATTAAAACTATTAGCTTTGATGAACTATAAATCTTACAATAATGTAAAGGTTTCTGTGGTAGCATTGCTCCTGCAGGGTCTTTGCTGCCAGGCATAAGATCCAGAGGTGCTACTGAACTCACAGCACTACAGAAAGCATCAACAGAGTCAGCTGAAGCTATAACACTTGATTCATTTAATTCTTCATTTGCATTATTGGCAAATAATCCACCTGAAAATAAATATCTGTATGTAACTTATAAAAGGGAAATGCAGCTGACTGACAGATCTATGTAAACACACAGCTCAAACTAATTGTAATGGTGTGCCGTACCACCATTTATTTTCATAGGTTTCAGTATACAAACTTTTTTTTTATTAGTCAACTTTTTTTTTAATTAGTCAAGTCAAAATTTCAAATCACTAAAGCTGAATAATAAAAAGAAATAATAATAATAATAATAATATCAAATGATGTTGATCAAGTTGAAATTTGGGACACAATTGTTATAGCAGAAAAGTTTGCAAAGAATTTGGTAAATTCTACTTGTCAGGAATTCAAATAGGGATTTGAAAATAATGTAATTCACATAGGCTAAGTGGGGGAGTAGATAATTTTTATTATCATCATCATATTATTATTAAAAAACCTTTTAAAATAATTTCTCAAAAATCTTTAATTGATACTCTGATAAGTAAACTACTGTGATTATTTTACCTGCTATGATTACTCTTACAATTTTAGATACTTCTTCTTGATATTCAGTAGTTCCTGATAGACCAGATAGCCATTCCAAAAGCAAATGAAGAGAAAAAAGATGATCTGATTTATTAGATGCCATATTTAAGCCAGACAACAGAACTATGTACCTGTTGGATATATAAAAATTATTAGTAAATAAACAATGGTCACATACAACATATTATAGAGTATAAATAAAAGTATAATTAAAATTTTATATTTAGCAAGATTCAATACTTTTCATTAACAAAATGCATGCATCTTAATGTGATAGTCTCAAATAATAACAGTTACAGTCTACCTACACAAAAAAAGAACAAATATAAATAATTCTCTCAGCCATTGGATTACAGAATATATTGCTTTTCATTACCTATCACAACTAAGTTGGGGTAAGGGTTTTTGAATAGAACATCCTGCCCAACACACATCTTTTACTGAAAAAACTCCATCAATATCCTCAGAGCCTGCAAGATAATAAAGAAATAAATAGAATAATGTATTATATTGGTACTTCTAAAGATATATTATGTGATCTTACCTAAAACAGCACAAACAACTCCTGTCACAACTTGATGGGTATCTATACAATCACCATCTAATTTAATCCTCTGTAATTCGTCTTCTAACACCAAACTATCTGATTCATGTACAAAGTGAGTTCTGTATGTAATAAAAATCATAACATTAGCAAGTGCTATTGGTCCAACCAATCACAAGACGATAAGGGCTCACAAGAGCATTACCTTACTGGCTGAGGAATAATTTCCAGCTGATCAGATAATTCCTTCAGAATACTTGGCTTGAGCTGTTGTAATTTGAATAATGTGCCGATAATTATGCATGTGGTATTCTTATCGTGAAGATCACACAACCTTAATACTTTGAAATTGTTTGACCACTTCTTTTTTATTACTGGTAATAAGATATTTCTATAAGTATTAAGTCTAGAGGAATAAATGTGGGCATACTGTTTCGAAAAATCCCTTGATACTTGATAGAACCTTTTGGAGCAATCGGCATACTGTAAATCATGTCTTTCGATTTCACGGGATAGAAAGTTACTTTGTAAACTTGTGGACGAACCACTTTCTACTTTGAATAACATTGTAATACTGGCGCTTGATTTAATTAAATTGAATCAAATATCACAACAAAAACATTAATATTAAAAATTAATTTTGCGCCAATCCGCCAAGCGTAGCACCATAATGTATTGTAATCTTTGGTAGCACCACAGACTTAGTAGGTATCGTAGCACAGATAACCGTAGACTAAGAATGAGGAAGTATTAAAAAAGAAGGAAATAAAATTGTATGTCACTAGATGGCAGCACAAATTGTAGGATTAAAATGTCAATTCATGACGTTAGACCAAAGAGAATAAAATTGTCAGTGTTCTTGTGGATCTGATAATTCGGATTAATATCGAGTTGGAATTCAATGAGGAAGTATTTAACAAAAAACGAAAGCACTAAAAAAGCACCTCCACTAGATGGCAACCCTAGCAAAAGTTCATTTTTGCAGGAAACGAATGGACTAAAGACAGTAATTTCCGTTCCTTTTAACTAACATATTAAAAAACTGAAATATGAAAAGTTCGAAACTCAGATATCAATACAAATACGAACTAGTACAAATAGAATATGAGTTATTTATTGAGTTTTGAAAACTAATTTACTGTTAAACACGAAAGAAAACCGGTAGGGTTGTTCATGAGAAATCAAGAACGTACCGTAGCTACATCTAGTTTGATTTTGGGAACTAATTTTTTTTTTAAATTCTTCTTTATTCATTTGAGTTACGCAAACGTAACTCGAGTAATACCAAGGAATCTTTGAATAACTTTCTTCTTATTTGTATAAAAGAAAATGAAAAATAACGTGATGGAAGTGAGCACAGAGAAGGTTTTTTAAAAGTTATGGAAATCGATAGAGGTAGTAATCCATAGTAGTTAATCTCAATGATGTTTTTATATTATGTGTGGCGAATGAATGAATAGCGTTTATTAATCAGCAACTAAGGTATAAAAAACGATAATTATAATAAAAAATCCGTTTGTTATCTATATACTTTCCCAATATGTATAAAATATACTAGTTACTCCTACAAAATAACCTGACTTCTGGTTAGAATGACGTTTGTACAAAGTTCAAGTTGCAAATAAGCTGTCCTTCGCAATTAAGTTTTTTAAATTAAGATCAATTATGAAATCTTATAATCATAATTAAATTATCTTAAGAAAAATTCAACAAGAAACGTCCGTTCGAAATATATTGCTTTAAATGGTTATTATAACTTTAAATTTCAAAATCACAAGTACGGTTATTATACTATCGCTAGTGGACTTGCATGTCGACGGCGGACGTTAAGCCTCATGTTATGTTAATTCGTACGGTGGGTATGTGCTTTTTTTGGTTCTTACAATAATATTGTAAATAATTTCAACTCAGCCAACTCTACAAATCAGTTTTATTGAAATAATATTATTTCTTCATTACCTAGAGTAGTCACGCTATCTTATAATTTTCCCATTCCCAAAGACAGGGAAGGCAAAGAGTACTAAGCCCATACAGCAGGCATTTGCCATTATGTCTTTAATTAATCAAATTCAACAGCCACAGCTAAGTCTTTTATAGAATTTTGTATTGTTAGTCCAGGTCAAAATGCAGCAGCCAAGTCTTTTACATCTTTTATGTCATTAATTACGTAGTAAACAATAAATTCGTGCACTACAGTTTATCATAGATTTCTTTTAAATAGTCTCATTCAATCTTTAAGTGTCAAAATACTATGTACAAAGTTAAGTTTTACGTAAAATCTGAAAAGCTTATTATATAGACTGGGTTCTTGCCCTTTTTGCCAAACTTATTATCTGTACAATCAGTTCATTATAAAACAAGGAAAGATAAATCCATGCACTAAATAGTTAAATTAGTATTTTGTATATAATCATATAAAGCTTTATAGCATCTTGTATCACTGAGGAGCGTATGTAAAACTTCACTGTTATTGTCAAGAACATCACTGTCACTGTCACTATTTAGATTTGTTACCTCACTCGCTAAAATCAGTCTATGAATTTTAAAATCTTGCTGTTGGCATTTCAATAATAAATGATTTAAATCGGCACCTTCTTCGTTACAATAAATGCACTTAGAGTTGCTGATGATTTTCAGTCTGTGCAGATGGGCAGGAGTTTTGCAGTGGCCAAATCTCATACGGCAAATGGTGGTAATTAGATTGCGGTTTATAGATCCTTTAAGTTTTGATGGATGGTACCACGGACGAGCGGGCAATGTCTTCTGTATGTCGTGGTACCATTTCCCCTTTTCTAATGCAATTGCATGCCAATAGTTGGTCCACAACAGTTTGTGGGATTCTGTTAGGTAGGTGTTAAAGTCGGTGTACGGTACTTTGCATATCTGACTGTGGTCTTCATCAGGCTTATTTCTGGTGACTTCATCTACGATTTCGTTCCCAGTGATGCCATGGTGTGATGGTACCCACAGAAACTTGATACTTATTCCCTTATTTTGTAATATATATAGTTGGTTCTTTATGTACAAAATTAAATAATTAATGTTATTTTTAAATACCTTACTTTCTAAACTATTTAGGACACTCATTGAGTCTGTTATAATAATAAAATTCTTATTTTCTACAATATTATCTATATATAAAATTGCTTTATATATTGCATAACATTCAGCAGTATAGATACTGCAGCTACTATCTAATTTAAAACATTTAGTTTGTTTTAGTTGAGGGTCATATAAAGCTGCAGTTACATTATTTGTATTTTTAGATCCATCAGTATAAATTTTATATTGAGGTATTTGTTTCTCAAATAAATCTAATAAGTCATTTTGATGATTTATTGTATGAGTAATTATATCTACTTTAATATTTATAAGTTGTTTGAGACTAAATTGGTATAATACTAAAGGGTTACAGGTAAATATATTTACAGCTTTTTCTTTAATGTGAATGATAATCCTCAATAACTCTGGAAAATGCCCTGTTATCAATTGGTTAATATTAATATATGGGCCAACTGGTAGTTGTTCCTGGGGTAGAATTCTATTAATAAGTGGTTTATTTTCTGTGGCTATTAATTTGAGACAGAATTTTTCAGCAATTTTTAATCTATGCAATTTCAGTGGTGGAATACAAGATTCACATTCCATTGCATTTATAGGAGTCGAACACATTGCACCAGTAATAATTCTTAGTGCCTTATTTTGAATAACATCGAGTTTCTGTAACTGTGTACATTTGGCATTCATATAGGCAAGACAGCTGTAATCAAAGTGACTACGTACTATGCTTTTGTATAACATGCTAAGTGTATGGGGATCAGCACCCCAGTGAACACCTGCCAATGATCTAATAATGGTCAACCCTTTATTAGCATTTTTTGAAATATATTTAATATGGCTTTCAAATGTTAATTTAGGATCTACATACACCCCCAGAAATTTCTTTTCAGACAGCCATGGAATGGGAACACTATTATATTTAACATTGTTATCACAAATATTTGATTTTTTACTAAACAACATGGCACCACTTTTACTAGGGTTAATTTTTAATTTCAATTTATTTTCATAAAAATTATGAATCTGTATAAGGCCTTTGTTTAAATTATTTACAGCAATATTTACATTTTGATCTATAGTATATAAAACAATATCATCTGCAAATTGAAGAAATTTGATATTTGAATTTTTTAAATAAGTGGTAATCTGGCTGGTGTATATATTATACAACAATGGTGATATTGTTGCACCTTGCATGGTGCCTTTATATACAGAATTTGGACCATGAAGAATGTTATTATATCTAACATACATTGTTCTCTCAAATAAAAAGTTAAATATCCATTTACATATTTTTCCAGGAATTCCAGATTCTGATAAAATATGGACAAGTATTTCAGGATCTACATTGTCAAAAGCTCCCTGAATATCTAAGAAAACACAAGCTGTATTTGAGTGACTGAAAAAAGAGTTTTTGATATCGGTTATAAGGGAAATAAAATTTTCTGTTGCACTATGACCCTTTCGGAAACCAGACTGTTGTACAGGTAATTTATTGTTACACTCAAGATACCATTCCAATCTTACTTTTAACATATATTCAAATATTTTTCCTATGCAAGATGATAATGCTATGGGTCTATAAGAATTATGATCATTTATTGGTTTATCTGATTTCAAGATGGGTATGATACATTGTGTTTTCCAAGAGTCTGGGATTTCTAGTTTATTCCATAATAAGTTATATATTTGCAATAAAATCTCTAGGGCATTTGGATGCATATTTTTCAATACTTCATAAGTTACATTATCTAATCCTGGGCTAGTATTTTTTCTACTTGCTAGAGCACTTTGCAACTCTTGCAATGAGAATGGTTCAGATAAGAAGCTATTTGTATTATTATCATTTTTATTAAAGATACTAGTTAAATTTGAATTATTTTGTGAATTAGCTGGTGGAACTGATGGAGCATATTTTTCTATAAATTCAGGAATCCAATCATCTAATCTAAATTTATTTTGAATACCTATGTTTTTAAATCTTTTCATATAATTCCAAATAATGCTAGTAGGTGTATATCTGTTAAATGATTCACACAACTTATGCCAACTAGTTCTCTTTTTCTTACGAAGTAAAAGCTTTTTCTGTGCATCAACTTTTTTGTACATAATGTAGCTCTCAATGGTTCCATCAGATCTGTATTTATTTAGTGCTTCTTTGCTGAGTCGAACTGCATTTAAACACTCATTATCCCACCATGGAACTGGATTTCTCTTAATATAGTGAGACTCTTTTTTAAATATAGGGATACATTTTTTCATAAGATCTATCAATTTATTATAAAATATGTTGTATGATTCTATAGGGTTACTATTATCATAACAAAAATTTGAAAATTCTTTTTCTGTTTCAGATTTGAAAAGAGACCAGTCTACCTTATGAAATAAGAACTTCTCACATGGTGTGCCAACAATGTATTTATCTATTGAAAGTTGCAATTTGGTGATAGTTGGAAAATGATAACTACCCATGGGATCATCATGTACTGACCAGTCACATAGAGGTGCTAAAGATGGACTTACACATGTGATGTCAATAGCTGATTGTCGGTGATGAATAGTACCAACTGTAGTAGGAGAACCATTATTCAAAATACACAAATCGAACTCATCAAGAAGATTATA